TATGGGGATTTTATGGCTGCCAACTATCAAAGTGGGTTTGTATGTTATTTGATTATCTTTATCCGTGCTAGAGTGCTGTACTAAAAATACCCTCTCTCTTCTGTTTACATCTACTTCAGGTTTTCTAGTATTTCTATCCTTATTTAACTCAGGTATTTATACATGGAATTTGCTGCTCTTTTGGCACTTGCAATCGGAAAGTCTTGAGGCACTTGAATTTTTGTCTCATCTTGTAACTCCTGTCTAATTAAGGGGCATGTTTCCACAATGAACAAAAAGCACATGATTTCTCAAGGCAGCAATGGCACACCCAACATGGAAGCTGGACTCTGAACCCTACCTCTCACACAAGGTCTTTTTATACCATCTGACATCATTAGGTCACTGTAAACATTTATTTCCAGTAATTGGGCAATAAATAAAACATGTTTGAAACAACCAAACACTCAGATGCCAAATAAATCTCAAATTTAGTCACTGTTAAGAGAACCAGTTTAAAATAAAGGACACCCTTGCACAATGGAAAAAGTGCACACATTCGATGACCCTGTGGTGCAAAAATAGATTTGAGGGGTATTTTTCTGAAATTTGGCCTCTCCCTAGAGATGAAAACTTGACTGGAAATGTTGAAGTTTTAAGCACATGAAAACATGAGATTATACTGAAAGTAGTTGGTAAATATAACCCCTAGAAATGTAATTCTAATTTGATCTATACATTGAGCAAAATCTCAGAAATGTTTTCAAATATATATGGCATACCACTGTTTACTGCAGACAGCACAGATACTTATCTCTGCCAAAATTATGACTTTTCAGCTACTTTAAACTTGATTTACATTCAAGAAACCAATTCCTCTTAGCCACCCTGTACGTTCTATTAGATTAATTTCTATTCTTTTAATACTTTAAAGTGAATTTAGTGATGCCTGTACCCAGCCTGATTCACACAGAAATCAACAGTTTATATAATCTTAAGAACAAGAAATTATTTTTAGGACTCTGAAAGATGAAACATCACTTTCTACAATAGGAAAGGTATTTCCCCCTTTATCTTGACACTTTCCATCAAGGTGAAAAACACTTTAGATATTTCCAATCCCATTATTCCTCCTCGTTCCACTTTATAATCCAAGCCAAAACAATCTCTGTTCTTATTAATTTAACTATCATCACTAAGTCTAGTCACTGACCACTGAGTTTTCTCCATTAATCCTCTCTCACTTCATCCCTAAAACAGCACTGGACTCCATGACTGATATTCAAGAATACCTGATTCTTGACATCAATCAAAGATGGAACTGGTTAAAACAAAGATGTAGCTACTCATCTTTACCTCACAATCCTCCCCTCCAAGGGTCAGTTAATCAATCAGAGAGCACATTTATCTGATTGCTGAAGCCAGGGAGTTCAGAATACTCCAACTCATCACCATCTTTTTCTTTACAACAGCCCATAATCAAATCCTGATGCTGATTCTTCACAAAAGCCTCTGCATTAATCTCTTCATCTTTAAATTTACTTCTTATATTGGACCCTGATCATTTCACAATTGGACTAAGGCCAACTTCTCTTCCCTGGCCTCCTCATGTCTACCATCCTCACATCCACTCCCATCTCATTCAAAAGTTGAAAGTTTTAAAATTTTCTAAAAGTTCATTAAATGTATTAAACTTAGAGCTTTTAAGTTCATCATAAAATTATATTATTCTATTCATAAGTCTAGGAAATGTTCACATTTTCCTTCTTTTCCTCATAAGGAATTTTCAAATATGCTGAGATAATTCAAAGAATAATACAGTGATCACTTGCTTTCCCACCTCTCAGTCAACAATTTTTACAATTTTGTTGTATTTGTGTATAAAAGGCATTTGAAAGTAAATTACAGACATCATGGCATTCCTCACTCAAGAATAAGGACACTACCCTACATACCTCTAACACCATTATCACACCTAATAATAATTCCAAAATACCATCTAATATCCAGTCCGTATTTAAACTTCCTCAATTGTTCTTCAAATGTCTTTCAGAGCTGGGTTTTGATTTTTTTAAAACCAAGATATGATTAAGGCTCATATATTAGATGTGCTATTGTCTCTCTTTAGTCTCTTTCTGAGGAAGTCAATCTATATTTTTTAATGATATGAAGAAACCAAGCAATAATACCCTACATTATCATTCTTTCTGATGTGAGGGAGTATGATAGTTTTGGCTTGTTTCTTCACCCTCAGTATTCCCTATAAGCTGGAGGTTAGGTGTAAAGGGTTGATTAGATTCAGCTCACACATTTTTGGCAAGAATACCTTTAAGGTGTTGCTCTACACTTCATACTGCATCCCATCAGGAGGCATATGATATCAGTTGTCCCCCTTTTAATGATTCTGAGTTTGATCACCTGATCAAGGGGGCATCATGCGATTTTTACCTTGATACCAAGTCTTTTATTTTGGTTTAAAAGGCTTCATATCTGTGCCAAAGCCTGCCAGGAAATCTAAACTAGTTTTACTTCTCTGGTCTCTTCTGACACTTCTTCCTTACCTGTTTCTTACAGTGTTCTCTCTCTTCTGTTTAATTTCTCCCCTACTTCTCTGTGAGCTTAGTTTCCTAACCAATCATCCATTTTCCTCCACCATCCAAGCAGTTCCTGAAATTCTATTCTATGAAGCTCCCAAGAATTAAAATACACTGATCACAGTTCATGTTGGCTTTTCAACCTCAAGTTTACTGCCTCATTTTTAGAATGTGCCACAGAAACAAGGGCTTTTTCTACTAAACTTGTTTTGTATATGACCTCTAATGGCAATACATAAACAGAGAGGCTTACTGATGACTATGACATGAAGGTCTCAGTAGTTGTAGTCTGCATCTAATAAGGGTTTTCTCACTGAGCAAAGCACTAGTGAGTATTTACGCAGTCGTTTCTGCCATTTATTTAAAATCCACCTGTACCTCCCTCTGTAACTATGTTTGCAAACCAACCATAGCAAGAAGGCACAAATATTTTCAAACACCTTTGTAGGATACATCTTATATACTATTGACTATTTGCCAGTAATTTTTTTTTTTAATGCTTGGATCATCCTAATTGCACAAACTGGACAATCATGGGCATTCAGCGATATTTCTCACCAACAAGAAAAGCAAATATCTTCTGAGAACGTTTTCGCAAAACAGGTCTTATTTCGAAGCTGTGTATTAGTTACTACACATGCAAAATGAATTAAGAATTGAGATCACTGTCTGGATCATTCAGACCAAAAGTCAGAGAAGTATCCAGATAAGGCAAAAAAGTGTTCCACCGAGTTTGGATTATTTGGGTAACTCCACCAACTATCCAATTCATGTGGATTGTATAGTCCAGCTTAGGCCTAAAAGTAAATAATCTGTTTATATTCTTTCTAGTTAGCAATCATCTGCCTACGATTGTATGTACAAGAATAACAAGTCTGTTGATATCTCATTTTCTTGCTTTTTACCATCTGTGTTCCAACTTGGAAACTAGGGAGCAAGATACTGGGCACAGAATTTTAAAAGGACCTGCTTTTTTCCTTTCTCATGACCAACCTAAGCTGAAATGACTAAACAATGCAAATGGCACCAAATTCATCCTCCTTCTCCAAGGCTTGTCTGGGGCAAACTGTGCAGCATACAAGGTTTACTTCAGCCCCACCGCCCCTATAAAAACTTGCCCTTAACACAGTAATCCAGTCTTTATTTCTAAGCTAAATGTAAACTGATGATACTCCTTCTCCAAAAAGCATGTGTTTAAACCTGGTCTTCAACTGAGGAAGGAAAAGGTCCCTCTTAAGTAGGCATTTCAGGCTCCGCAGGCAGACCAAGGTTGTGTGGGGCATCAAGCCTTCCCTGTCTTACTGAAGTTACATGACATAAGCAATCACTTGCTCTATTTTTATGTTTGACTCTATCAATAGGTAAGTGTCTTCTAAGCTAGTAGTTGCATAGTTCTGTAACATTTGCAGAGCATGTCACATTACCTTGTCTAATCTTGACAAAACCCCATATTCTTGTCTCCACTTTACAAATAAGGAAGCTGGTTCCCTGCCACCAAGTGCTGAGCCCATGGCTCTAACCAAGATCTTATAACTCTACATGGCTGTTCTTTCCATTCTAGTCTACAAACCAATTTTACCTCTTCCCCTAGAAGAAAGGGGATGACCCAACCATGGACTTGCCCAGCACCTAAAAGTGTTCTTCAGGTTTCAAAAGCAAGAACGATTGATTCTACTACTAACAGATATTTCACTCACACACAAACACACACACAATTTTTTGAATATTCAGGTAACAGCAGGA